TTTTTACCATCCTGTACCGCCAAATCCTAATTCTCCATAAAATAAGCAAGCTCACTTACCTATAGCACTTCTCTTCACCCACAAAAGAAGGTTTCCAGAAATGCCACCTTTAAGTGAGTAATATAAAGTGCATATTCCTTCTCTGTACAAAAATGCAACACATGACGATTCAAAATAGCATTGCCTTGCACACAAACGTGTGCTGAAAATCTGATAAAGTCTATAAGACCTTGATGGCTGATGTCGACCAGGTGCAAAAACAAAGTATGTGAGAAATAGCTGATCCGAAAGTAGTCCTGAAAATGTCTCAGATTCATCAATCTCAAAGCTACAAATGAGCAATGTTTATCCACATAATAATCATTAAGAAGTTCAAGTCTCATAAAATCAGAGGTCATCAAAGGCGCTCCATAACTGTCTGTGAAAGGCATTTCAATTATTTAAAGTACGATGAAGTCTGTTTACAAACTTGTGCTCGTCACCATTACTACCTCTTGCACTTGGCTTCTTCTCCCAGAGCCAGATGAAAGTCCGATTCGGACCATCCTCCAGAGTTGTAAAAAAGAAGCAAGCTCTGGCGCGGTAGTCGAACGCTGCACAGACAAGGTTACTAAAGCATGCTTGCGCACAAGCCTGAATGTCTGGTACATCACGAGTGACTAGTGGTGAAATCGGGTAATAATAGCCAGGCAGGTATGCAAGATATGGCATGTCCTTAGACCATACTAAAAAAAAATTTTTATTGTCCAGAACACGACAACTTTTCTTTAGTTATCTTCCACATCTTCTGAGGAAACACAAACCAACCTTCTCCAGTTGGTGGCCTTTTTTTGAACCAAAGATCAAGCCTTTTCAGTAGCGGACCTTGCGTTACTGTGTTGTAACCAACACATTTCCCGTCTAACCATTCAAATCCAGCACACATTCTATTGAGGTAACAGGCTTTTGCGCAAGCTTCAATGTTCTCCGTGTTACGTGGTCGCCATGGTCCCGCGGGTCTATGCATATTTGGCGCGAATACAAACTTGATAATGTATTTCCTGAGTGGTTCTGAAGGCAATCTAAGTTACTGACTGTAAAGCACAGTACACCACCACATTTTTTATACTAAGATCTAATAAAGCCGTTATTCAGACAATCTTTTTCAATTTAAAAAGGAACTTAGAGATCCAAAGTGATCAAATATCTTCTCTACACAAGCAAGCAAACTTTTTGCATCATCTGCGAAAATGATTTTTGACG